ACAGTGTCCCGGCTGGCTCATGAAAGTGTCCGTCTCGCTCTCTCTCTATTCCTGCCTTACAATACAAGTTACATACATATGGCGGTTTATCTCTACGGGCCTTAAGTCGCCTCTGGGCCTTGGGCCCTTAACTGAACCACCATCTTCAAGTGTCTTCAGTGGGCTTCGTAATAGTAAATCGCCATAGGTGTGACCCGGCCCCTCCTGGGCAGGTCATACCTAATAGTTATATCCCCAACACACTTGGAACCTTGTTTCTCAGCTCCATCATGAATTATTAGTAAGTCCTAAACGTCATTTGATACCATAGATTTGAACTCATCTTCCATGGAAACCAACCATTTGGACGAATTTTCACTTCTAGTGGCTTCCTTATCAGAGGTTGGATCCTACACCTTTCCTTTATCATTTATATTCTCACTCATGAAAGTGACATAATCATCCTAGATGGCTTTCTTCCTTTAACGCCGTGGTCTTCTCACAGGAGGAGGTGGTGGTGGAACATCATTATTTTTGATGATCATTATCTTGTTGGGGATCCTCATTAGTGTCTAGATTTCCATTATTATTAGTTTTCCGATCACCATTTGGTTGAGAAACTGAACCATGAGATTCAGTATCCTTCGACATCACGTTTCTTCGTACTGGAAAAATAACCTTTTGAATAATCAGAGATGGTGCCCAAACCTACTTCTCCTCAAGATCCAAAGACAGACAATGACATCTTGCTTGTGAATGGACACTTTAGAGCTCTTTAGAGAGAAGTGTGTGAGTGTGTACCACCCACCCACCCACCCCTTGCCCCGGCCCGCAAAATGTATACACGGAAAGGTTCATGTGAAACCTTATGCGGGTTGCACTATCTGTAGTGATGTGATTTCGAGTCTATAAACTACAAGATGCATCGACAATAGTGGTTACATGGCATTTCGATCTTAATTAGTGGATTCCGTTTGGCTTAATATAAGGCATTTGAGTGGCTTGTGTTTTCCTAGTCTCCTACTTAGTTTCCCTAGTTTTTCCCCTTTATATTGCTTGTGGTGATGAATGGCTCTTTGGTTAAGCAAGATGACACTCACTAGGCAAGGCACTGACACCGAGACCTCTGTATACTCTAGTTCATGCCAACGATTGGAACAAAAGGCATGTGGTGATCAGGGTATGTAGAGTGATGAGCAACACATGCCACCACCATTAATTATATATACTCCCCTCTTTCCTAGATATTAGGTGCATCTTTTTGGGCATTGTAACCAAGGCATGGAGGATTTTGAGAAACTGAACCATGGCAGTGAACAAAGTGCTTTTGAACCACTTCATTCAAAGCAAATAGTTATTATTTTGATGGAAGTGGCCACTAACTCTTCACATGATTGTTGAACAACTTCTGTGAAAAATCATCTGTAAAAAGAACTTATGTGTATAAGAAGCTAGCCCATGCAAGCTCATTCCAAAAAGGGGGTAAATCACTGCTTCATAGAGCTATGTCTGTTTGATCTGGTCTATTTCAAGTGTAAAAGTAAGAAAGGAAAAGGCATCTACAGAAATCTAAAACTCAAACAAGTTACATATTACACCCGACCCGACTTTATAATATAGTCAACCCAAAAGCAATTTTATTACGAGGAATAAAAGCATTTTTGTCTCACTCTCAAAATAATGTACTACCAGTGAAGACCTTTCGAAGCGAAGGGAGATAGACCCCTCAAACAAGTAAATGAACAAGATCAAAAGTATGTTGAGACAATGGCTCACTATGAGGATAAGGTACATGAATTGGTTTATTAAGCTTACAACCCTAACAATCTAAAGACACGTCACCGAGGCACCCCTGAAGACCATACAAAGTAAATGCGATAGACGAAGGCCACAAACATGACCGTCGTGAGTTTAAAAAATGGTTGTTCTAATTTATAAAAAAAATGTTCACTTTATGTTTTAAAAAGGCTCTTCAGGTATTTCTCAAGACATGTTATCATGTATTTCGGAAAAGGTTCTTTCAATATTTAAAAATATGTTCATCATGTTTTTAGAAAATGCTCATCATGTTTTCGAAAAACATTCATCATGATTTTCGATTTTTTAAATAGCAAACTCTTTTTGTTTATATGGACTTTTTTAAATTCCAAACACCTTTTGAAATTAAATGAAAAGTAAAAAATCATGCAACATTCTTGAAAATTATTTGAAAATTAAGAAAAAAAACATGAACCCTACTTTAAATACATGATGAGCAACTTTTTAATACACGCTGGACATTATTTACTACATGACAAATATTTTTGTAAAATGCACGATGAACATTTTCAATACACTATGAACACAAATGGTAAACATTTTTTAATACAAGATACGAATTTTTAATCCATGAGCAATAAATAAATACATGATGAACACTATTTGACACCCGATATTTTTTTTGAATACACTGTTTTTAGTCCTTGATGGATATTCTTTTGAAATACAATGAACATTTTTAAAACATTGATGGATATTTTTCAAACACATGATTAACAATTTCAGAATGAATAAAACAAAAATATTCCTCAAAGTTGGAATATTTCAAAATATACATAAATGGAGAAAATTAAAAATTAAATAAAAAACAGCATTAACATTACGTAGTGATAAGTTTCACAACCAGTTTTTAGGGTTCAGCGAAAGCTTACAGGTTTAACAAACCAGAGGCAAAAGTGTGGCTAAGCATTGTTTGTGGACCGGCACAAATATCATTGATGTAGGAGAGGTATGCTTGTACCTCGTTCTATTATATGCATATTAAAAAAGATACAGTTTAGCTACAATCAGTCACCAGGAAACAGAATTTGGATCAGTCACTTTCTGACGGGAAGGAAACCGGAGACGCGTGGAGCACCGAGGCCGCTAGGTCACCGGAGTAGCTAGGCCTTTGTGTCTATCTTAGGGGTGCAGGTTCGCCAGGATGCTAGGCCTCGATGTCTATTTTAAGGGTGTGGGGGATGCAGAGGTTGCCGACGTCGGATTTAGAGGTCGATCGGGCTTAGAGGGACGGCTGATGGTGGCGACAAACATGGGGATGGGGGAGGTTGAGGGAAGGGCGGGTTACGAGGCTAACTCGGGAGCGCCGATGGCTGCGGGCAACAGGCGGCCGGCCGGTGGCAACAGACAATGGGAGGAAGAAGAAAGTGATTTGGTTTTCATGAAGAAAATGTTTAGAGGCAAAATACATAATATAATCATTCGTATTTTATCTAACGCTTCAGATTGACGCCGGGGCCCATCTTCAAAGGCATACACATGACGTATATTAAGGTGGCCCACCTAACCATAGAGGGCATTGCGCAGCGAGATTTAGCATTTGGACCAAGAGTTATTATGAGTAAGCCGCGTGCGGTATGAGTTGGGGTTCCAGGCATGTCCCCTAAACGTGTCACTCTGTACATATTTTCCTCTTCATCATAATGAAAAGGGAAACGTTTGGGCGCGGTGCGCCGGCTGAACGATTCCGTCGGTCGCTCGCGAGCCACGTGATGAATCCCCATCGACCGCCTCGCGCATCACCCTGGCCCATCTTATTTTCTCCCTCTTCCTTCTTCCTCCCGATCCGCTCCTTCTATCTCAGCCTAGCGCACTGGTTTCCACACTCCTCATCTTCCTCCTTCGGATCCCAACGCTGACTAGCCCCAAATCCCGTGCAGGTCACTACCTTCAACTTCAGCGCCCTTGCCCACTTCTCCACTGCCCCCCGGCTGCAAGTTCCCGCCGCCCCGGTGAGCTTGAGTTGGAAGACGCCATGGATATGCCTGGTGTCGAGCCATGGTTGCAGCTCCCCTTGCCTGGTCGTGGCACACCATGTCGGCGGCCATGTCGTCCCGCCGTCACCGATGCAGCAAAATTGGTCGCCCGTAGTAGCAAATCAAACTAGGGTTGCAGCTCTCGTGCATCACCGTTGTAGCTTTCCTAGAATACTGCTATAGCTTTTTCCTTTGGTCGCAGCTCGCCGTCGCGCCCCCACTCATCACTGATGTAGCAATTTTAATCACTGGTTTCAGCAAATCGAGATGCCCATTCCAGCAAAAATAGTTGTCACTGTCGTTGCTCCCATCGGTTGTAGCAAAAAAGACGGCCGGTTCCAGCATCTGGTGTGGTCGGTTGTAGCAACAAAAGTTGCTGGTTGTAGCTCCAACCCTGGCCGGCTCCAACGCCCGCGGTGAAGCTGGTAGAATTGGAAAAGCTACAACCATCGAATTGGAAAGCTTCAACCATAAATTGAAAAGCTTCTTAAAAGCTTCAACCAGAGGCCGCGACAAAAAGCTTGAATCGGCATCTCACCATTGATGCAACTGGCTACCGCGGTGGCTTCCCCGCGGAGCTGCAACGGCGACGAACTCCACGGACCGGCAGGGTCGATTTTTTTTGTTGGATCCATTTTTTTGCTGCATAAGAGGGGATGGGCCATGGGGCACCTACGCTCCTACCGGCGAGCGGCAATGGCGACGGTTAGGTCGAGCGGCGAATGGCGAATGGCGACGGGGACGACGGCGGGTAGAGGCCCACAGCTGTGTGTGGGCTGGCCCGCGGAGCTTGCTGTGGCTCATCCCGATCGCGCTTGTTATCGAGGGAAAAGACGACGCATAAGGTAGGAGACGATGCAGGAAGGCTCGATCTGACGGTTGGGAGGCAGGGCATCGGACGGCCTGGGCTGGACCGGCCCAACTGTTGGGCCGGCGCACCGGTGCAGGGCACTGCCCTAATGAAAAGACAAGGCTCCCGCCGGTTGCTAAAATAAAAAGATTGACGCCAGCAAAACCGAGTGACCCAATATATGTTTTCAGTTTTTCACTCGACTTGTACCTGGCCAGTTTGAAAAGAATAATTTGGACTTCCTCAGAGATATTCTCAAACTGAGTATGTAGCACCGGACGCATCGAAGCGCGCTACGTTCATTTCGAAGGGAAATGCGTACAAGATACACAATACTAGGCCGCGCAGGAGCACTGACAGGGGCAGTGCCAACATAGCTAGCTGGAGGAGAGGTGTGCCATATATGGCGTTTGCCGCAATACGATGGACCTGAGCACATTTCCGGCGACATGCCGGTTGGCGGCGTCGGTCAAGTGTATCCCGTCCCACGAGACGTACTTGGACGGGTCGGCGCACTTGTTCGCCCCGGGCATGCCGCAGAGGGTGGCGAAGGTGGGGTCGAAGTTGTAGGTGCCGCTCCCTCCGCAGCACGCCGCCAGGGGCTTGTCCCCGAACCCGTACTTGCCGGGCGTGGAGACGAGGGCGGTGACGGGGTCGAACTGGTCCGCGTAGAGGATGGCCGTGCCGGTGCCGCGGTAGGCGCGCCGGAGGTCCAGGACCATGCGCATCAGCGCGTGGTTGTGCATCCGGGTGAGGTCGTTGAGCCGCGTCAGGCAGCCGGTTGGCCGGCTGTAGTCGGCGCCGGTGCCCTCAATGAGGGCCAGCAACAGCGGCTGGCAGCCCAGCGGTATCATCCCCCGGACCACCACCGTTTTCGCTCCGGCATCGATCACCTCCTGCATGTGTCCCATGTCATGTTACTCCACTTTCTTCATATTTGTTGGAAACAAGAACATAGTTTTATTTACTTACAGTGATGACTGAACGGATGGCGCCGACGATGTGGGGCACGAAGGTCCGGATCTCGGCCTCGGCGAGCTTTCCGGTGATGAAGATGAGGTAGTCGTGGATTCCCATCTCTCCCATCATCACCAGCGACGTCGCCATCAGCTTCCTCTGCTCTGTTATCTCAGACCGGCCAGTTAATTGACTTGCTACTTCCTCTACACCACCAGTAGCTCTGTGCGTGTAGACTTATTTACCTTCTACTGCGCCGGCTAGCTGTAGAACATTCCTGAACCACTCCGTCTGGTTTGCGAGCGAGACGGGCATGAACAGCGTAAACCCTTTGCTCTCGAAGAACTCCGGCCCAAGCGCCGTCGATCTGCCGTAAGCAAAGTTCACGCCCTGCTGGAAATCCGCCATGGTCTCGCCGGCGAAATACGGCCTCGGGTGCGGCAACCCCAGCGCCTCAACTGAGAATCAGATATTGAGAACTAAAACTGGTAACTAATCAACGAGACGAGCTATACATATAACCGTGGTCATCCCATTATGTACCTACGAAGTCGAGGACGAGGCGACCGTCGGAGGCACGGCCGGTGGGGGCGCCGAAGAAGGTCTCGCCGTACGGGGGAGTGTTGCCGGTGGCCCCGCCTGTAAGCGCAAACTCGTTCCCGGTGTCGGCAAGCGAGTCGCCAAAGCTGAACACGGCGGTGTAACGCGGCTCGGCGGCGGCGGAGAAGAAAGGGAGAAGCGCCAGCACCACGAGCAAGAGGCGTGAACCTAGTGGCGCCATCATCTCGGTCGAAGCAGTGGTGTGACTTGGAGTGAGAGTGTTAACTGTGGAGGTGCGTGGTTTGTACTGTATTTGTACTGGAGACACATCGGGCAAGTAACGAAGAATTTAAAATTAACGCTAGCTAGACACAAGTGGGGCAATTTCTATTTGCGAGATCCAGATCCAATCTTATGTTCATCGAGATGGGAGCTCTTGTGATTTAATTAGTTTGTTTTGGATAAACACAAACCAAGTGGCTGCAACTCGGTCAGATAATCACAGGATCACTGCATGAATTTGTACCACGTGCACCAGTGATCTATGTCGGTGTGTGCCCGCGCGTATGCGTGCGTGTGTGCTCAAATGTACTCCCTCCGTTCCGAAATAGATGACCCAACTTTATACTAACTTTAGTAAAAAATTGAGTCATCTATTTTGAAACGGAGGGAGTAATCTTTAAGTTTTCCTCGCGTAAATACAGTTCGCCTATGCGTGCGTCTGTGCTCAAATGTAATCTTTAAGTTTTCCTCGCGTATTTACGCAAGGAAAACTTACAGAACTGTATTTACGTGAGGAAAACATAAAGATTATTTGAATTTAGGTAGAAAGGGAAAGTCTATATTTAAAGGTTTAAGATAATAACCGAATTACTTCGTGAATCATTTGTTGAGTGGTTACTTGCCTACATGTGTCAGATTTCCAAACATGGAAACTTTAATTCTGAACCAACTGCAAGAAAAGATTGCAGTGCTAATGATTAAAAAGTATATTTTTAGTCCCTCAATTAATCACAGTGCGGTTTTCGTCCTTCAACTCTAAAACAAGATAACTTGCACACCTTCAACTTTTCAAACTAACCAAAGTTCATCCCTCAATCCAGCTGACGCGGTTTCATTGCTTACATGGTGTGGCTTTGACCTGTCTTTGCCATGTGGCAACAGTCACCTTCATGCTCATCATGTCACTTCTTCCTTCTCATCCGATTGGTTGATGCTTTATTTAACAAAACCCATAAGATGGTAACAATTACCAAGAGCAGTTTTAAATTGACACGCCATACAAAAGCAGGGCATTTTCTATTTCTAGCATGTCGAGTCCTCTCTATACATATAGTACGTAGCGTCGACCAAGCACGGAGATAAAAGATGACACTTCTCTCTATTAGCTAGCTAACACAATATATGAAACCCCTAAATTAACCCTACAAAAACCCCAAAACCCCCAACCCTCCCCCTTTCAAAAAAAAAAACAAAACCCCCAGCCCCTGAACTGCTGACGCGTGGAAGCCTTTTGGTCCCGGTTGGTGGCACCAACCGGGACAAAAGGCCCTCCTGCCTGGGCAAGCTGCAGCGGCCACGTGGAGCCCCATCTATCCAGGTTCCTGGGCGAACCGGGATTAAAGGTATTGGGCTTTAGTACCGACCCTTTAGTCCCGGTTCGGCAACCGGGACAAATAGGCCTCATGAACTGGGACAAATGGGCCTTTTTCTACTAGTGCATATGAAGGACCCCCGCGTAGGAGGGTGTACACAAAGACGGAGAAGAAAAGCTAAATAAGCTGCTGCCACGACAATGATTTTCGAAATTGCTGCCACATCAGCTATTTTATGTTGCCACAGTAAGCAGTTTTTTAGAAAATATGTTTTCTTGACAAAACTGCTAACAAGGCAGTGTTTATCTAGTTTTGATAAAACTGCTACCTAGGCAGCATTTTCTACTGCCACGTCTACGCTTTAGGTTGAAAGTTCGCGAAGGCGAAGAGGACTTCTCCGATTGAAGGGGCTATACCATATCATGCTATTTTGAATTGCCTGTGATGTTTATCCCTTATGAACCCTTTTCAGTGTGTGTTAGTCAGTTTTATGTGGATGATATCTCTCACAATAAAATATCACGTAGTTTGTGCTCTTCGAAATGTAGCGCCGTCTGAAACACATATCACTTCAAGGTGTGTCGTGCTAACATGGAAACGAACGATCTGAGAGGTGTGACGAGGGTGAAGGTGAGACCTCATAGCAAGATCACTTGGTTGTCTTGACGTTCCTCAGAAGAGAGTCCTTGAGCTCGAAGCACGCCCATTGGAATGATGTATAAGAGATACATAGAGATGTGATCAACAAGTTCACTACTAGGAAGAAGACTTATAGGTGGGCTGAATTTAGTGGCGGGTGTGGCCAGGTACCCGCCACTGGTATTTTGGAAGAGTAGTAGTGGCAGGTACACAAGGTCAGCGGCCACTGCTTTGTGCACAGAAGTGGCGGGCAAAAATGATCACTCGCCACTCGCACATTTTACAAATAAATGTTCCTTTTCTTCCACAACAAAGTCTTTCGGTTGAGTCATGCAAACGTCTTCGTTCAGGCCACCATTTAGAATCGTCGTTTTTAATATCCATTTGCAACAGTTCTAGGTCATAATGAGCTACTAATGCCATGAATATTGTGAATGAATCTTTGGTTGAGACATGAGACAAGGTTTTGTTATAGTCAACTCCTTCTCTCTATGTGAACCCTTTTGTCACAAGCCTTGTTTTGAACCTCTCGATATTCCCTCTGGAATCATACTTGGTTTTGCAGACCCACTTGGAACCTTCTTTCTTAGCTCCATCGTGAATTATTAGTAAGTCCTAAACGTCATTTGATACCATAGATTTGAACTCATCTTCCTTGGGAACCAACCATTTGGACGAATCTTCACTTCTAATGGCTTCCTTATAAGAGTTTGGATCCTACACCTTTCCTTTATCATTTATATCCTCACTCATGAAAGTGACATAATCATCTTAGATGGCTTTCTTCCTTTAACGCCGTGGTCTTCTCACAGGAGGAGGAGGTGGTGGAACATCATTATTTTGATGATCATTATCTTGTTGGGGATCCTCATTAGTGTCTAGATTTCCATTATTATTAGTTTCCCGATCACCATTTGGTTGAGAAACTGAACCATGAGATTTAGTATTCTCAGACATCACGTTTCTTCGTATTGGAAAACCAACCTTTTGAATAATCAAAGATGGTGCACAAACCCACTTCTCCTCAAGATCCAAAGACAAACAATGACATCTTGCTTGTGAATGGACACTTTAGAGCTCTTTAGAGAGAAGTGTGTGAGTGTGTACCACCCCCCCGCCCCGGCCCACAAAATGTGTACACGGAAATGTTCATGTGAAACCTTATGCGGGTTGCACTATCTGTAGTGATGTGATTTCGAGCCTATAAACTACAAGATGTAGCATCGACAATAGTGGTTACATGGCATTTAGATCTTAAATAATGGATTTCGTTTGGCTTATAAGGCATTTGAGTGGCTTGTGTTTTCCTAGTCTCCTACTTAGTTGCCTTAGTTTTTCCCCCTTACATTGCTTGTGGTGATGAATGGCTCTTTGGTTAAGCAAGATGACGCTCACTAGGCAAGGCACTGACACCGAGACCTCCCTATACTCTAGTTCATGACAATGATTGGAACAAAAGGCATGTGGTGATCAGGGTATGTAGAGTGATGAGCAACACATGCCACCACCATTAATTATATATACTCCCTTCTTTCCTATATATTAGGTGCATCTTTTTGGGCATTGTAACCAAGGCATTACATGGAGGATTTTGAGAAACTGAACCATGGCAGTGAATGAAGTGCTTTTGAACCACTTCATTCAAAGCAAATAGTTATTATTCTGATAGAAGTGGCCACTAACTCTACACATGATTGTTGAACAACTTATGTGAAAAATCATCTGTAAAAGGAAGGACTTATGTGTACAAGAAGCTAGCACATGCAAGCTCATTCCAAAAAGGGGGTAAATCAGTGCTTCATAGATCTATTTCTGTTTGATCTGGCATTTCTGTTTCAAGTGTAAAAGTAAGAAAGGAAAAGGCATCTGCAAAAATCTAAAACTCTAACAAGTTACAGATTACACCTGACCCGACTTTATAATATAGTCAACCCAAAAGCAATTTTATTATGAGGAATAAAAGCATTTTTGTCTCACTCTCAAAATAATGTACTATCCGTGAAGACCTTTCGAAGCAAAGGGAGATAGACCCCTCAAACATGTAAATGAACAAGATCAAAAGTATGTTGAGACAATGGCTCACTATGAGGATAAGGTACATGAATTTGTTTGTTAAGCTTACAACCCTAACAATCTAAAGACAAGTCATCGAGGCACCCCTCAAGACCATACAAAGTAAATAAAACAAGAATATTCCTCAATGTTGGAACATTTCAAAATATACATAAATGGAGAAAATTAAAAATTAAAAAAATAGCAAAAACATTATGTAGTGACAAGTTTCACAACCAGTTTTTAGGGTTCGGTGAAAGCTTAATGGTTTAACAAACCAGAGGCAAAATTGTGGCTAAGCATTGTTTGTGGACCGGCACAAATATCATCGATGTAGGATAGGTGTGCTTGTACCTCATTCTATTATATGCATATTAAAAAAGATACAATTTAGCTACAATCAGTCACCAGGAAACAGAATTTGGATCAGTCACTTTCTGGTGGGAATGAAACAGGAGGCGTGTGGAGCATCGAGGCCGCTAGGTCACCGGAGTAGCTAGCACTAGTAGAAAAGGGGGCAAAGGTCCAGGCCAGGTCAGCCCATTAGTCCCGGTTCAGTCCAGAACCGGGACCCATGGGGGCATTGGACCCGGTTCGTGAGCCCCGGGGGCCGGCCGGGCCACGTGGGCCATTGGTCCCGGTTCGTCTGGACCTTTTGGACCGGTTGGTGGGATGAACCGGGACCAATGGGCCTCGCTCCTGGCCCACCACCATTGGTCCCGGTTGGTGGCTCGAACCGGGACCAAAGGCTGCCCTTTAGTCCCGGTTCATGCCACCAACCGGGACCAATGAGGTGCCTATATATACCCCCTCGCTTAAGAGCAGAGCACACTGCTCTGTTTTTTCTGGCCGCCAAGGGGGAGAGGGCTTGGTGGTGCTCTAGATCACCTTCTATGCAGACAAGGTGTTCGATGGAATGGCCGAGCCACACTACTTAAGCTTTCTCCTCTCCAAGCTC